GTCGTTAGAACGTTATAAAGAGAATCGTGTGCCAAAAACTCAAAATCCTGTGCCAAAAACTCAAAATCCCGTAACAAAACATCCCTTTTTGTCCTGTACATCAGCAAACTCAAAAACAGAAGGATATGTGGAGGGAGTAATGAGAAATTTAAAGCAAGAAGATTTTCCTGGACAAAAATATCTTCGGGCAGATGTTTTTGTTTCAGAAAATTATGAGCGGATAAGAAGAATAATTATTGATTATTCTGACAGGTTGGATAGTTGCAAGTGGGCAAAACCGAAAAGATTGTACAAAAGGAAGAAAAAAGATGCTGATGACCCACTTCCAGTTTCAACTGAAGAATACAGCGAAGATTTACAGAAACATGATTATCATAATGCTGAAGAAACATGGGGAAAGAGAGACCCTGAAACTCCCAAAACAAATCCAAGGTTGGGACAGTATCAGCAGTCTCCCAAAATACCGCTAAGTCAAGATCCTGATTTAAAAAAGAAATCTAGTAAGAAAAAGCGACGTAGAGGATATCAGGACAAGGTAACGGTTACGGACACAGATTGTGTAAAGAGCAATAAAAAAGTGCGAAAATAGCAAGTGGTAAGAAAAAGAAATGTTTGATGACAAATGCTAACAAATGTCAAAAGAATAATAAGAATCCTAATAAGAATGGTAAACAAAGATTGAGTAATGCAGAACACCAGGCGAACAGGAAGTGATTAACTGAGTGGCTCTGCAATCAAGACTCGAATGATTTAGCAGATAAAACAAACAAACTACGCCAAGAACGTGCTACTAAGCGTAAAAGGGTAAATTCTTCTGAAACGGACTCAAAAGATAAGAAGTTTATGAAGTTTGAAAACAACCTGCATACATCAGAAAGCAACGACTTTGTAGGATTGCAAAATAGAAAGAACGATTGTTGGTTAAATAGCCTAGTGCAGTGTATGAATAATCTACCAATAAAAAATTGTCTTTTGGATAATGTAAAAGAATCTAGTGAGTCGCCTCTAACTACCACATTAACGAGTGTCCTTAGTAAGATAGACAGTCTTAGTAATCATGGTTCGTTCTACCCCAAAGAGCTTCACAATGCTTTCCAATGTGAACTACAATATGCTCCCGGAGAACAATGTGATATTCATGAAAGTTTTACCTCCTTGTGTTGTTCACGAAGTGGTATGAACGAAGAAATTGGTAGTCACTTTCAGGTAGGAATACAGTTTCGAAAGACCTGTTTGGAATGTTCAGGACATGAAGATGGCCCCCCTGAGACGTTCACATCACTTCCTTTATCTGTGCTAGATGACATACCACAGGTAGAGGATAGTATAGAAAATATTTTATATGAAAATATTGCTATCTTTTGTCATGTTTGCCAAGTTGCGAAAATGCACACAAGAAGAGGAAAATTTATTTTTCTTCCAGATACATTAGCATTACTTTTTAAACGATTTTCGTTTGTTGACGCAGTTGAACACAAGAAGCATTCAAAAGTCTACTTACAAAGGGAAATTGTTGTTATAGGAAGTACACCTTCCTCTTATCTATTAAAGGCATGTGCACTCCATCATGGAGAACATACTGTACTGATATTTGACGATGATAAATTTATCGAAGTAGACGATCAACAAGCTCACAATAGAACAGAAAATTGGAAATCACACGCGGACACTACTGTATACCGCTTTACCTTAGAACAAATTACCTTAGAACGAATTCTTCAGTTCTGGGTAGCGTAGCCAGTGGCGTATCTAGCGGTCCTGTTTGTCCTGCCCAGCAGGACTAAAAATTTCCCCAAATTTCCGTACTAAAGCATTGCTTTATTTATCTTGAAGCTTTAAAAATTTATCATCATATTGTTATTTTGTCTCATTTTCTCGTCTTTTTTGTTGTTATTTTTTAAAACGTTTTTCGCATTCTGTTATATTTACATAATTTTACAGCTTGCCGTGTCTGTTACCTAGCAACTGCAACTCTACATTGATTTACACGCGACTCGTATTTCGGTCCTGCCATTTTCGAATGGCAGGACTTGCTAGTATATTTCATGGTAAATTCATACAAGAAATCTTGGTTTCGGATTGGATAATTAGGTCTGCACATGCTCAAACCGACTGTTGACAAATGCGAAGTCCTGCTCTCTCGAAATGGCAGGACTTGGCCTTGTATTACCTTTACTTGCGAGCTTTCCGTGTGACTAAACCCACTTTTCACTAATTCTGTCAAGATTACTCAAGTTATGAATATGGAAATCAACGAGTGTGGAAGCCCAATGTGATTTTGATATAATTTCTGGCTCACGAAATTCATGTAAACAGACTCGACTGATGATTGTGTATTTTTATAATACAATATATTAAATGGGGAATACAAACTTCATTTGTGAAGCCTGTCGTATTGATATAAAGTAAGAACGTAATATTTTTGTGCATTTGAAACGAGCAATTATATGGAGTTTAATTTTAAAAATGATATACTGTACCAATTCACACTGTTTATGTAGATATTTGGCCGCATAGACGGTATTAAACGGTATATTATTAATACCACCATAGGGTACTGAATTACATTCAGAGTGCCAGGCGTAGTGATCTGTCACATTACTAACAAACATAGTGAATTCTTGATGAATGCTAGCCGTAGCGTTATAGTGTATAAAACGCCGTGTTCAACAGTATAATAGTTATCCAATTGTTGATTACGTGAGGTTGGATTGTTTTGTGTTGATCAAGTGAAAGATCATATTACAGACGCGTATTGTATACATGATATTTTCCTCTTTCGTGACTTGACTAATTTTAGCTACATTTTCAGTTAAGTTGAAAAATATATAGTGAAATATGATAAAAAATGCATGGATTTCAAAAAGTTATAAATTTTTTTCTAAAAAAAATTATCAAAAATTTTCCACTAATCACGCAATTTTTTGATGTTCCCTTTGGAGTATTTTGTAGTGAAATCGCAGGAAATGGCCATTCCAGACTTCTGAAATTCAAAATTTCCTGGGGGAGCATGCCCTGGACCCCCCTAGAATGTGTGGGTCTTAGAGCAGGACTAGTCAAATTTTGGTAGCTACGCCACTGAGCGTAGCTACTGGCAATAAAAAGCTAGGCGATTTTAAAAAGCATGAAATTAATCAAAATAAAAACAACTGTAAAATACGGCAAGGTTGCGAAAAGCAAGAAAATAATGGAAAGCAAGATCATAATGAAGGTGAAATATATTGGAACGTGGAAACACGAGATTATTTGCTTTGCAGTGCATTCGAATTTAGATACGAGCTGAAAGGAAGGGATTTCAAAACCTTGGAATTTCCTGTCATTGACAATAGTTATACCTTGGATACGCCTGGATGGTTGAACGACAATATTGTGGATGCGTACATATCCTTGCTTGTGGAAGCTGCTAGTTATAAGAATACTGGTGTATATGCCCTTAATTGCTTCTTCATGAAAAAATTACGAAGAGCGTTGTTGAAAAATCAATCTCAAAAAAATTTGTATGAAATGATTTCAAAATTTCATAAGCAAATCAAATTTGAGAAATTAGACTACATCGTCGTTCCTATCAATACAAACATGTGACAATATTTCTGACATAAGGAAAGAATTTGTAGAAGAGCTTTCTCAAGGCAGGAAGTTTGTACCTACTGGGAAACTGGTCTTGGGCGATTCCGACAAGTTAGGAAAAAATGCTCAACAGCCTCTCTATACAAGCAGCGTTTGGGAGGAAAAGTTGTATTACACTGTCACTCATCTGGTGAGTTTAAAAGTACGTTCCTCTGGACACTTGAAGGTGTGGCAGCATATTATACATTCATACTCTCAAAAGACAAAGTGGGTGAATGTGCTTGCTATGTGATGTATGATGATGGTTTGGTTCTAAAGTCGAGTTGTATAGTGGAATGTGTGACAAAGACAACAGAAAAAATACTCGACAAGACAGAAATACTGAATTCATTGAAAGTAGCTATTGAATGGAATTTTTTAAAAAAGAAGCTATGATTAGACATGTTGTGTAATAGACTGCATGTGGACGTCATATTTTAGTTATCCAAATGTAAATAGTAGTTGCACAATTATAGCTAGCCGCCAGTAAACTCAATTATAAATGGATACGTGATATTTTTTGTACTGATGTTGCGAAGGCTATAATAAGAACCTTGTATGCCCAAGTCTACGCGTATCGTGAGGCGGGCGGTGACGATAACCAAGTTTTTTTTTATTTGGCCTTAGTCCCGTCAAATTACATACTAAAATGGGGCCTTTTCGTCGATATTTGCGAAAATCTTGCTTCAATCAATCTATTTTATTAGCTAGGAAATCGTATAAATAAATACTCACTAAATAATTTAAAACTACTTTTAAAGACTTTCTTCGCTTTTCACACAATTCAAAGACTTTTCAAAGACCTTAAAGACCTGCATTCAAATTCAAGACTTTCAAGGATTTCATTCAAAGACCGCTACAAACCCTGTGCTTATATGAGACATGCAGAGAAGAAAATAACTCAGACCGGGCTCAATTCATTCTGCCAGCTGGACCGAGCCAACTGACTTCGAACCGGCATGAAATAAGACTAGGATAAATGTAAACAAAAGTACATTTCATAAAGACCGATCTCTCCCGTAACCTTGACATAGGCTATTACTACACATGCTAACAGGAAATAAATTGAAAATCTTTTGATTTTCGTACCGCCTACCGATCACATGTAAACATGTTGACAATTTCAATTTCCATTATCGTTTGAAATTGTCCCGATCTCATGTTAACAGGGTCTTAAAATGCAACCTCTTACCCTTGGGTTTTTGTTCCCGTAGTAAGCAAAAGGTCTTCGGTAAGAGGTTTCTTAAAATCAGTAATTCTTCATCTTGCTCTGGAACGCGGCGCAAAAAGTTTGAAACGGCTATACACAAAACTACAAAAGATGATATTTCAATTTTAAACATTTTGTTAATCTGCATGGTCACAATAAAATCTTAAGGTGGTTTTCCACTAGGCGAAATTTTTCAATCGAATCGAAATTTCTATTGTTCAAATTCAAAAGATTTCTGATTAGTTCCATCTGAGTGCTTCTAAGACAAAAGAAAATTTCTATTCGGTCGAAAAATTTCACCAAGTGGAAAACCGCCTTAAGACACCCTTTCAACACAATGATGTATAGTCTCAAAAATTTCGAGCTAGCAGAATTCAGCTAAATTAATGTAATACTCGGAACATGTAGTAGATTAATGCAATGCTGAAAAATTCACTGATTAATCAACCAATTGAACTGTAAATTACAAGAGTAAATATATAAATTGTTAGTAAATATATAAATTGTTAGTAATATAATTAACTAAATAATCATATACATTACAAACAGAACTGAGATTTATGTATACTCATTATACTCATTGTCTCATTATATCAAAGAGGCAGATAAATAAAAATATCTGTGTTAATAATCCAAAATGACGCAAGTGCAGGATGCTGAAAACTGGACATTTACGATATGGTACATTTATTTCGAAGGGCAATTAATTAAAGATGAAATGGTGTGTTTATTCCAATTTCTTGATCCGAACTGCAGCCGTCGTGGAATAGGAAAATATCGAAATTTCCAATCACATGACTGTACTTAAATTAACTTGCGCGCGCAAATATCTTATTTCGCATAATTAATTTCAACTATAAATTAATTCGGGAAGCAACAAAAACTCTTATCGCTGTGGCAATAAGATCCTTTATTTTCATTCATGCATTGATGACAGATGTGCAGAAATCCTGACATGTATACAATAAAGTCTAAAAGAATGTTGTCAATAAGAGAAATTACTGCAGTAGGTAGGAAGGTAGTAGTAATTGAGAACCAAGTGAATGTTTATAAAATGAAATCTCAAATTGTTTTTTCCCGAAAATATGTATACGAAATTGGTTTATTAAACAAACTTCAGGTGCAGTATTTTGCATGAAAGTTAAGTGCGGAATCTCGTATTACACTGTCAAAGAAATAACGCAAAAACACATATAAATCATTTGGCCCCCAAGACAATTGTAGTATAGTTATAACCAGCATAAAATTCTATGACACATATGTTAAAATAAAAAATTCCTATAGAATAGGTAACGTATGAAGGAGACTTCAACATAGAGTCGAGTGCGTAATCTCTTATTACACCTTCATAGAATAGCGAAAAAAAGCATAGAAATCATTTGGTCCCCACGATAATTTTAGTATGGTTATAACCAGCATAAAATTCTACGCCATATATGTCAAAATGAAAAATTCCTATAAAATAGGTAACGTATGAAGGAGACCTCAACACAGACAGCCATTTTGCATGGAAGTTGAGTGCGTAATCTCATATTACATCTTCATAGAAATAGCGCAAAAATGCATAGAAATCATTCGGTCCCCAGGATAGTTTTAGTATGGTTATAACCAGCATAAAATTTTACGCCATATATGTTAAAATAAAAAATTCCTATAGAATAGGTAACGTATGAATGAAATCTCAACTTAGACAGCTATTTTGCATGGAAGTTGAGTGCGTAATCTCGTATTACACTGTCAAAGAAATAGTGCAAAAACCGCACATCTAAATCATTTGGTCCCCAGGACAATTTTAGTATGAGACCTCAACATAGACAACCTATTTTAAGGTGTATGATAATCTATGTAAAATATTAAACAACACCATTTTGAATGGGGGGGGGAGGGATGAATGTTGTGATGGTAATATGCC